CGACGACTCTAGGTTGAGAGTGTCCACCTCTTCAGAGGGACCTTGTGTTCCTCGAGTCGTCGGTGACGGTACCGGCCGTAGGGCAAGGCCGCCCTAGGCACGGTAGGCACGAGCGGGAGCAGTGGTAGCGCTTGCCTCAGCGGGACCAGGAGCTGATCCCAGCGGACGGCCGTCTGGAACACCACTCGTATCCCCGGGTACGGGACAATCTCCCCGATCAGGCGTTCGTCGTCCTCGGCGAACAGGACCCTGGGAGAGGGTCCTGAGGCCACGCAGGACGTCAGCTACGAAAATTTCCACGGCCGTAAAGTCGTCCAAAATGTCCGAAGGAGATGCCTCAGTACCGTCATGAGGGCGTTCACCTCCTTCGAGGGCTTCGTTGCCGGAAGCCTCGCCATCAGCAACTGGATAGTCTTCAAAGGGATCACCGTCCGGAGCTCGCAAGCGTTCGGCGTTGGCTTGTTCGGTACGAACTCGTAGGGCAGCGTTTCGTTGAACACTGTCGAGTGCGTTCGAGGCGAGAGCAACGGGAGTAACCTTACGCATTACGGTCGTTTCCGCGCAGAGATGCCATCCATGTGAGAACAGCCCAACGCCTACTAAGACCAGTGAGATGACAACGTAATGCTCGGCCCACGAGAATTCCATATTCAGCGCGTTGAAGAATAGTAGGAGTAGGAATAGTCCCACCGGACCGCACGACACATACTCTACGCGTCGTATAAGGCCATAGGCAAGAACAGGCTCAGAGATACTAGGATGACGGCAATCCAAAAGCCACCTTCACCAAACTCGTAACACCGACCCCACATGGCGGCTATAGCTTCTCCGAAGGCGCACACATAACGACCCACGGAGCGGAAGGTTAGCACAGTTAGACACGGTAGGTACTCGCCATACGTGACACGATAAGCCGTCCACCAACTGCGCAAAACGTAAGCATACCGGCCGTACTCTTCCTGGCGGTCACGGAGGACCAGTTCTGGGACCGCAAAGAGACCATTCCACAGGGCATAAGCATAGGTAGGTCCATCCAAACCGCGTAGTTCCTCATTGATGATCATATCGTTAAATCGCAGTGTGCTAAGGCGCCAGAGATCTCCATTCATACGCGTCACTCGCCAAACTTGCAGCGTGAACGCCACATCTACATCTCGCAACGGGCTGGTGAGCCCCCAGACTAGGACAGCGCTAAGGTAAGCTGGCCAAAGGTCCCATCGGACGTACTCGCCCACGGTTGCGTCCCAGAGGCCTTTGAGGTCCATGTCGTGGTTCCAAGTCTAATTGGGAGTGGATTGAGAAAGGTCGGAGAGCGACAGGTACCGTGGCCGAAGTTTCGAGAGTCACGACCAGTCTAGACCGGGGTCTAGACCTTTTAAATGTGTGGACGTTCCCGGTTCCACGACCGTTCTTCAAGCTAGTGGTTAGTCCCGCTCATGCACTCACCCAACCGTTAGGAGTAGTATACCTCGATAGTGGCTGAGACCTGAGAGAAAGGGAACCAGGCTAACCATTCGCTCTTTCGAGGCTCATTCTCAAAAGCACACAAGCTCTCTCAAACGACCGTCTCTTTTCAAGCACACGAACCCCCGGTATGTCGAAGAAGTCGACGACGCTGGCCAAGATCCGGGCTCTTCTCGAAGACGAGGAGAACGACGACTCCGCGCACCTCACAGAAGAACAAACCCGGGACGTGATGATTGGGTTCTACCAACGGTTCAGGGGCGTTGTCTCGGTAAATGAAGGCACAATTGGTTTGGAGATCTTGGACGACGTGGCCGAAGCTGTTATCGACGGAGATGGAGATCCCACACGCAGTTTGTCGGGTTCCATTCACATCCTGCCGTTGCCATCTATCCAGTGTGAGGCCCGTGGGCCGCCGCCACATCCCGTGTTTGCTCCAGAAGAAGGAGAGTCAACCGTTGCCAGTCAAAGAACGCTGGGCGAAACTTCATCCACCAACGCCAGTGCTCAACGTGGATGTGGAGGAAGGCGTCCTGATCATACCACACCTCGGAGTCGGTCCATGGGTAGGCCAATTCGTGCATGCATACGCCCTTGAGTGCGGCTTCCTTGACGAGGGCTTCCAAGTCGTCGGCAATGTCCTGTGAATTGCCCACGGTGAATGAGGTCGAAGCGAAAGTAGCGCTTCGGGGCCGGCTGAGAGCACTGCTTTGCGCTGCTGAGCGAGGGCGAGCGCTCCCTCGGGGTTTTCTCCTTCTTAGACTTGGACTTCTCCTTCTTGGACTTCTCCTTCTTGGACCTCTCCTTCTTGGACTTGTGGCTCTTCTTGGCCGGCTTGGATTCCCCAGCTGAATATCCCATACCGGTCGCAGCAACTCCTAAGCAGTCGTCGGAAGCTCAAGATGCAAGCTCACATTGCTCGGATCAAGTTCCTCAGCATGTGTATCAAAACGTGGGGCTATTTCGGCTTCCTGAGCCAGTTTGAGGCCTGTACTAGCAATCGCCGACTTATGTGGATGGGAGGACAGCCAGGGCGGAATACAGGAGACGCCAAATCGTATTACGGCCCGGCTATCGAGAACCTTCGCGAGCTGCTGCGTCGTTATCCCGACGCTTACATGGGGAAAATGAGGAGCGCTCTCCAACCGTTTCGTCTGGACGAAGGAGGGTTCACCAATCTGACTTCGCTTCTAGTGAATCTCGGAGCTCTAGACCCGAACAACCCCAAGAAGGAACACCGATTGAGCGATCGAGCTCTAGCTCGCGTCCTTCATGATATTATCTCGCGCCGTAAGAGACAATCGTGGTGGTTCGGAGTAGGATGGCCCTGGGATAGTCTTCGAAACTGTGCGAGAATTGTCCAGCGTGAAGCGAAAGAGGCGAAAGCCTTACGCGAAGGCACGTACCAGGAGCCCACGGCCCCAGCCTACGACGAACGCGAATTACAAGGTACGGGTTTGACCCACTTCATGTTCTCGGACGCCACCTTCGCGGCTAGAGGGACAGGCGAGGTTCGGACACCCGACTTAGACGATGACGGCACCGAGCAGAAACCACCGGCTACGGCGACGTCTACGAGCGAGGCTGTTTCTGTCCCCGCGGCGGACGAGCGTTCCACGTCTTCCACGACCAAGGGGGAGCGCTCCAGCCAGTCTACGAAACAGTCGATGATCCTTCCGAAGCATTCCTCAGTTCCCCGACGTGCTACTCGTTCGCTGTCGTCAATCCCACGGACGGTGCCAGTAACCGCGTCGACTTCGAGCTCTATCGCCAGGGCTCGGCGCTCGGCTTCCGTAGCTCAGCGTTCCGAGGCTCGTCGTTCTTCGCTAGTAGGCCAGAAGCGCTCCCGTAGTCCGACGCCAGAGTTATCGCCGCCTGCTAAACGCACGCGTTCAAAAGGACGGACTGCCGGGGACGGGGAAGTGCCGAAGTCGAAGAAGTAGGTTTGCGAAATTAGCTGAAGACAGTGCCATTTCAGCGGCCCTTATTCATGTAGTTCAGTGATTGCATGCAACGATTTCCGTTACTTTCGGTATCGCCTTAGTCGTAACAGTTCCAGGCGGGTACGGGGATACTGAGCTCTGCTCAGCAAGCGTGTTAATCGAGTACAATCCAAAATATAGGTCGAAATTAGAAATCCAGAGAAAATCGAAATCCATAAATCCAGAGAGAGAGAGAGAGAGAGAGAGAGAGAGAGAGAGAGAGAGAGAGTGTAAATCAGAATTTTCTGGCACAGTACAGAGCCGAACCGTGCCAAAAGAGGAATTCGCAAGGGGCCGACAGAGGGGCCTCATAGTAGGACGCAGTATGGAGCATCCTTCACTCTAGAAGAGCAGCTCTTCCTCATCGACTGCTGCGTTCGCTTCAGCAAGGCGGGCGTTCCGACGAAGCTCAGGCAGTCCTTCTTCCTTCCTGCGCGCATCCTCGAGGACTTGTATCATTGGACCATAGGTGGGTAGGAGCGTGTTTTTGGGTCGCCATAGGGTCTCGTACGTCGCTAACAGCACTAGGTACTGTACTTCTCGGTCTTTTCTCCGGCGGGCCAGGATGTCAACCAGCGGGTAGTCGACTCCAGTAATCGCCGTCTCCTCCCCTCCTATGGAAAGACGCTCCACGTAGCTTGTCGACGGTAAATCTTCTTCGAGTAGGGACCCTTCGTCATCCTCCTCGGGTCTCACTTCAATCCCATCTGGAACGTTCGAGGGGAATGGCCGGCTCCATCGCTCATTGAACGTCTTGAGGTGATTCACATTAACGGTGGCAACCTTGTTGTGATGCGACGGAATCGCAATCCGGTAAGCGTTCTCGCCTACAGTTCCCACTATTCGGTACGGTCCATGCCAAGCGAAGGCAAGCTTCTTGGTCCGTCGTTCCCCACGGCGAGCCCGGAAGTATTGGTAGACCTGGACCGGGTCTCCTTCGTCGAACGTCACTGCCTTCTGGGCGCCTAATCTCTTCTCGTGGCGTCCCTGAGCCTTGGGTAGTTGGCGCTCCACCATCCGGCGGGTGTCTCGTAGGGACAGGAACAGTCGGCGTCGATACGAAGCCACTTCATTGCTCTTCCAGTCACTGTTGGTGTTAAGGAACGCCAAGTCTAGAGGGAGCACAGGATCCCTCCCGGCTGAAGAACGGCGAGTTGCGCAGGGCTTCATGGAATGAGGTCCGGTAGGCGAACAGCACTCTAGGCAGGTAAAGGTCCCAATCGTCCTGAGACTCACGAACGAACAAGCGTAGCTTGCTAAGGAGAGTGCCATTGAAGCGTTCGACCAGTCCCTGAGTCTGGGGGCGATAGGCGGCCCCGAACAGTTTCTTGATTCCCAGAGTCTCGTAGAAAGACCGTGCTAACCCCGAAACAAAGTTGGATCCCTGGTCGCTCAGCAGTCGCTCGGGCACTCCATGTCTGGAGATCACTTCGTTCACCATAATTTTCACGAAAGTCACAGTGTCCAACCGTTGGACCGGGAAAGCTTCGACTCACCTAGTGAAGTAGTCCGCGAAGACTAGGATGAACTTGTTCCCTCGCGGGGTGGTCACCAAAGGGCCAACGGCGTCTACTACCAGCAATGAGAAGGGTCCCGATAGCTCTTGGATAGGCATCTTCTGCATGAGGCCATTCTTCCACGGTCGGTAGCCCTTCCCGCTCCCACAAGTGGTGCACTCTTTCACGTATTCCATCGTATCGCGCTTCCAACCGTGCCAATAGGCATGCTTACGGACTTTGTCCAGCGTCTTGGTGACTCCCACGTGGGCTGCCAATACGTCTGTATGGCAGTGATGCAGCACTGTAGCGATGAAAGGAAGCGGGATCACGGGGACCTCTATGGATTTGGCGTGGCTGGCTCTGGCCTTGAGATGAACTTTCCTCATGAGCACTTCATTCTTAACGGCGTAATTAGGGGCCCTCAGGATTGTCCTAGTCCGCACTTGAGGGTCTAGAGCCAATGCGCCACTCTCGAGGAAGGCTATCATGGCTTGTATCCAAGGGGTCCGCTTCTGCTCGTCCTTGAACCGCTCTTGGTGTAGAGCGAAGACGTCCACCGGCGAAATGAGGAGTTGCTCAGGGGGCTCGGTCGACTGGGCAGTACGAGGGCTTGGGACTCGCGGGGCTCTTTCTCCAGTGGGGGACACATCCACAGCGGTTGTCGGCACGGCAGGGCGCTCCCCGACCGGAGTGAAACTCTCTTCCTCCGCCTCGGCCTCGTTGAGCAGCTCGCGCATGGTTAGTGCTCCAATTATCTCGGCGTACAACCGCGACAAGCCATCCACGTGCCCCATTGCCGTTCCAGGCTTATGGAACGCTTTAAATCGAAGTTGAGAGAGTTCCATGGCCCAACGCGCGAGTTTGGCATTACTAGTACGGTTCGTTTCATTAATGACCCAGGTTAGTGCTTTGTGATCGGTGAACAGGTCGAATTCGCGCCGATCCAAATAGTAACGGAACTTCCTCGTGGCCCATACAATCCCCCAGCACTCTATCTCCGACGTGCCGTCTTCCTTTCTGATCCAGTTTTTCTCCGATCCGACTAGCAGTTTACTAGCATAAGCCACCACATGATCCCGTTCATCCACGGTTTGCATTAAGCATGCTCCTACAGCAGTCTTGACGAGTCCACATAGAGCTTTAATCGATTCTTAAAGTTGGGGTACACCAAGATCGGGGGCTCAACGAGCTTGCGCTTGAGTTGGACGAAGGCCGACTCGCAATCTTCACTCCATTGGAAGGGCACGTCCTTCGCCTTTAGTCGTTCGATAGGGGCCGAGATGGCCGCGTAGCCCGGGATGTAGCGTCTGAAGTAGCTAGTCAGGCCAAGGAATGCCCGGACCGTGTGGATATCGTGGGGCGGGCGCACGTTAAATACAGCTTTTACCTTTTCGGGGTTGGGCAGGATGCCCGTCGGCGTCACTATATGCCCAAGGAAGGCTACTTGATCTTCCCCACTTACACTTCTTCATCTTGAGTTTGAAACCAGCAACCCGGAAGCGCTCCAATACCTGCTTCAATCTCGCGAGGTGTGTAGGGAAATCCTCGCTGAAAACTACGCAGTCATCCAAGTAAACGAGGCACGTTCTCCATTTGAGATCCACTAGAACGGTCTCCATCAGTCTTTCAAAGGCGGGGACAGCATTGCACAGACCAAAGGGCATTACTAGCCATTCGTAGAGTCCGTACTTGCAAGTGAACGCAGTCTTCTCGACGCTGTCCGCAGCCATGGGGACGTTCCAATAACCAGAGGCAATGCCCATAGTCGAGAATAGTTTAGCGTTCCCGAGTACATCGAGAATGTCGTCTATCAAGGGCATGGGATAGCAGTCCTTGATCGTGACGGCGTTCAAGTGACGATAGTCGATGCAAAACCGAATTCCCCCGTCAGGCTTGCGAATCATTAGTACGGGACTAGCCCAGGGGCTGTTAGAAGGTCTGATGAAGCCCGACTCAAGATACTGTTGAATTTCGGCCTCCATGACGTCTCCTTCGGCGCCTGACACACGGTAAGGGCGCTGCTT